TTTTTTTTTTTTTTTTTTTAAAGCACAGCCAAAATTGAGAACCTCTGCTAATAACTCATGTCACAGATTGACCAGCTTTCCCATTTCACCTATTGCTTAATAACTGGAGAAAACTTCTCATTCCGTGGAAATTAAATGTCTACACTTCAGAGAAGTGTGTTCATTATAACAGATGAATGCTATTTAAAGATGAGTAAACACAGCATCCAGAGGCTCATTAGTCTGAGAGTTTTAATCATCATGGAGGAGAAACATAGATTTCTAATACCCACTAAGGAACTAAATATAGCCACAGTTTGTCAAGACTTATTTCACAAATAATTTTAACAGGAACTGAAGTAGTTTAAAACAATTCTCCTCTCTGGTTATTAAATGCATTGCAAGGTTTAGTGTACCAGGAGCAAGTATCTTGCTGAGCAGTTTATCTTGTTTATCTCATTTAATATCCCAAGAACCACATAGTGAGTAGTTTTATTAATTCTATTTTATATATGGTGAAACTGAAGAAGAAAGGGCTTCAGTAACTTTTCAAGGTCATGAACAACTAGTAAGTGTGATGGCCAGAATCTTGAGCTCAGCCAGTGTCACTGTGTAGCCTGTGTTTTTAACATGAAACAGGGCACAAAACATCAAGCAGTAGGTCACATGCTGTGATCTGCTTTTGCCATAGTGGTGGTGACTTTGCCTTGATTAAATAGCTTTTTATTCCATTTCTTTCATTTTTGAGGGGCATAATTATGCAACATGATTTTATTTCTGTAAACAGAGATGAGTTAATTGGCCCACATAGAAAGAAAAGAAGTTAGTTGCTCTACGCTGGGATCAAACCTGTGATCCGGCCTAATTAACACCAGCTAGTAAGTGGCCAAGCTGATCAGTTTACAGGGTCTCAATAGCAGAAAACAACTAATTTTTCCCAAATTAGTTACTTATGATAATAGACAAATACCTTTGAAATACAGCAAAAGCAAATATATATATATACATATATAGATAGATAGATAGATAGATAGATATACATAATTGTTTTGTTCTCTCATGAGGATTTGCATGGTGTCTCTCCCATGATACTATATGAGGAAAACATTTTATTTAAATACAAGATCTAAGTTTTTCATGAACAAAGGAATAGCATTTGAAATCAATCCTACCCTAGTTGAGTGCACTGGCCTGACCCAGTAGAGGTCTTATTTCAACCCAAATTCTCTATGATTGTGATTCTCTGCTAGAAGAGTAAACGTGAAATAGATCTCCCTGGGAACTGGCTTCCCGGTCCAATCAGCTATTTTACCAACAAACATTTCCTTGTGATATAGTGGTTTAGGGCTGAGAAGATCTTGCTTTTAACCAAATCTTTTTTTTTTTTTTTCGTATTCAACAGTAACAATTTTCATCAATTAGCAGCTTATTGGAATATCTGCGTGAGAGCTTAACACTTTTAAGTTAAGTGTTACCTACAGATTAACTTTATGGGAAATGGAAAAAGATATATATATATATATATATATGTACCTGTTTGGAGGAGTGATTTATTGTTGACTCTAGATTGAAATATTTTTCAAGTGGCTTAATGGGAAGATGATGATAGATGATTAAATTAGTATAGGAGCTTAACCAGAAAATCAGGTGACTTGATATCTACATCTACATCCTTCATTGGCCACCAGCATTCATTAATGAAGCAGATGATGGACTAGATCAAGTTTCCTATGAATGCAGTTTATATTAAAAGAAAAGAAAAGGTGGCTAGCACTCAGAAGATCTAATTTATATTTCAAAGTATATTTGGATATAACTCAGTTTTAAATATTTCTTTACTCTCTTTTAAAGCCTTGCTAACAAGGAAAAAGAACCACAAATAGTATATATGTGAATAAAAGTTTATTACAGAGCCTATTGACTGGGTTTGTATGTAATAGGTTCTCATAAACATTTGTTGAATGAACACATAAAAGTGAAAAGAGCAGGGCTGGCTTCATCCCTTGATCGAGTCTAGGATGCTAAAAAAAGCAGGCTATCCCTCAGGACACAAAAGAAAACCAGCTAATCTGGGTAAAAAGCCTTATTACACCAAAGAATGAAAGAAGAGATGGCCAGACTGTTCTTTCCTCTGCATGTCCTAAAGAGGAATTTCATACAGAAAGCAATGCATCTTTCCTTTTCAGTTTTCTTTTATTAACTCCAGTGAGAAAACTTTATTCATATTTCTGCCATGTCTAGTTTTGATTTCTACTTTTTCTCTCTTCCTTACTTGTATTTTTATGACTAAAGCATTGACTGACTCGTTCACTACTTTTTCACAGCGTCTCTTTAGCTTTACAAATCCAGAGGAAAGGTATGTGTGTGTGTGTGTGTGTGTGTGTGTGTGTGTGTGTATGTGTGTAAAACAAATACTTTAGAGAAGTCTAAAGATTGTAGACTACTTTACTAATTATTCTATTACTTCCCCCGAATTACTACTCTATTTTTTAATGAAATAGAGTTATAGGAACATTTTCTTAGGTAAATTTAGGCATTACTTTATGAAAAAAAATGTGAAGTAAAGGTTAGTTTTGGTTCTATCAGAAAAATGAGTATTTTGTTATATTTACTATGAAAAGTTGAAAAACTGGCAAAAACAAAAGAAAATTTCAAGCAATGGAATAAACAAAAGGTATCTTAAGTTATTCTGGAATAAAAGGGCTAAAGAAAAAAAAGGACTTCTCTTTCCTTTGAAAATTAAATACCATTAGGAATTGTGAAATCATGATGAGCTTTAATAGTATTATAATTTTTGTCAATCGTATGGCCTAATGTCTAATTTTTGTTTCCCCATATTTAAAATGCTAATGTAGTATGAATATAATAAACTTTATCTGAAGACATTTCGGATTTTGTAGTAATAAGAGTTTCCTTGAAAATGTTTGGTTAGTATTAAGTCTCTTAGAATAGATTTTTTTCTTTTTGACCAATATTTTATGTTAACTATGGTGTATTTCATGTCCAAATGAAAGAATTTCATTGCAAAATATTGCTTGGTACCCAATGAACATCCATATATATTTTATGTCACATAATAACAAAAAAATGATGATTCCTAAATAAGTTTCAGTGGGTACGAGACACATTTGAATGTTTTTTACTTAGAGACTAAAGTCCTTTTACTTCACTCTAACTTAACCACCATTTAGAATTCAAGAAATCAGTGAGACTAGAAATAAAGCTTTATAGAAACAAATGAACCGGATATTGAAAATGTAACCAGATTTTCAAAACAGTGTTTAGTGTTATTCACAGATATATATTCTTCCTTACTTGTGATTTTTTTACGTGCAATCTAGCAGATGAAAGCATCATGAGGCCAATGCCACAAGAAGTACTAAACAATAAAAGAGGCTTTGGATTCTTCTGATACTGTGTTGAAATACTTTATGCTAATAAGAAAACGATAACTAGGGTATTAGACATTTCAAATGAAGGTGATGCATTATAGTCTCTGCACGCAATGGCAAACTATTAGGAACTAAATCTGGAAGCATCAAAACCCCACAGTGAAAATTAGTCAAATTTTTGAAGAGAATAAATAATTCTTTTTTTCACTATGACAAGGTAAAGACTACTAAGCAGAGTGAGCTTAACAATAAGTAGCATTTACTGAATGTTGATTACTTAGTCATCTCTTTGAACTTCTCAAAACAACCATATAAAGTGTAAGATGTGATGAAGTTAGGGTTATGCTCCGGGTACAGGTTTGCTAACACAGTCTGAGAGAGGCTAAATTACCTGCTGAGGTCTCCAGTTGGGAAAAGAGAGAACTGAAATTTGAATCCAGGTTTAATTTGATTCTAGACCCTTTGTGTTACTTCATCAACCTGTTTCTCAACTGTGCAGAAAAAAAAGGGGGCTATTCTTTATAAGAAAAGCAATAAACAAACAAATAATTATCTCAGATAAACGTTGTAAGAGTGAGATTTCAAGGCCTTCTGCAGTGTTTCTTCCATTCTCTCCTAGGGGCCTTGCTCAAGTGGAGCTTTGAAATTGTGGTTCAGAAAACTTCAGTTAGGTTCTAGAATGATTGGCTCTTAGCAAATCCAGAGATGAGTCATTGTTAATGGTGTTGAATGTAGGAATTCAGTTAGGTGAGTATTTATAAAATTTAAGTATTTTAAGAATGGATGAAAGTGAACTTGAGTTAATATATATGGAAGTCTGAGCTAGAATGACTTCTGTACTTCAGGAAAAACATACCCACTAATTAGTAAAATTAATAGGCCAAAAATAAAGTTGCATGCTCTTATACTGTAATGATTATCATTTTAAAACTAGCTTTTTGCCTTCGAGCTATCGGGGTAAAGACCTACAGGAAAACTACTGTCGAAATCCTCGAGGGGAAGAAGGGGGACCTTGGTGTTTCACAAGCAATCCAGAGGTACGCTACGAAGTCTGTGACATTCCTCAGTGTTCAGAAGGTAAATGAACCTGAATGCCGTGTGGGGCACTCTGCTCCCGCTTTCTGTAGAACTGCATCTCGCATTAAAGGTTAACAGAAACGAATTAAACCATAATAAATATGCTGTTCATTCAAATGCAACTAAAGATAATTATCTGAGCATTTTTACTTGACGTCTTAAAAACTGATTATCATCAGATTAATGCAAAAGGGTTATGAGTTTGAATTTCAACAGAGCCTGAGGCATCCCTCTGGGGAGAGTAAAAGCTTGGGCTTCCTCATCTACTGTCTTGAGTTCACATACCTCAAAATCTGCTCCCATACACCACCTGAAAGGAACCCAGTGAAGCTTAGTTCTTTAAGAGTAAGGCTAATTCCATCCATCTAGCACCTGCTTCTGCAGAAATTTTGTCAAACCTACTCTGAAGTGGTGTGGCAAGAGTACATGAACCCAGAAGAGAATATGGGAAGGGGTCACTGAAAGTTCAATACCCCCCGTGTGCCTTTTGGTGAGAAGCAAATCTGACACACAGACTGACACTAAACACCACTGAGAATAGCATCTGAAGAGATCAAAGCAGTAGTAGCTCCCCAGCTGTCTTGAAGGCAGGCACCCTAAGTCCACGCCTGTTTTCACCTCCTTTCACAGCATAACGGGGCACTGTCCCCCCTCTTGCACTGGAAAACTGCATGCCTGACAAGAAGGAAGAGTAACCACTTCAGCATTGGATGTGGTTTCATTTTTCTTAGTTACCTGGCTACTGAATAGCTGGCTTTTTAGTTTTGTCAGAACCTAAGCTTCTAAAAATCCAAAGGACACACGGATTAAGTTCTGAGAGAAGTTTAGTAGGATTTCGACGTACTCGGGGGTAGGGGGCTGCTGGAATGCTGTCCAACTTTTATAGTATCTGTTTGTTATTAACCACATTTTTTGGAACTATTTTTCCATATATCCATTTAATACCAGGTTGATATTTATCACATAAAAAAGGCCATTGTTAGCTTAATTGTCACGGAGAAGGTGAATTTGTTTTCTGTTGTTAGTTAATTTAAAATTCTTGACTTCATGTGCTTAGAGCCAGTTCCATCTGTGTTTGTAAATTCTTACTTTCCATTCCGTATCATATTCTGTTCACTATAACTTCTTCATTGTTTTCTTCTCTTTTAAAAATAATAAACTGATCTGTGATAACGTTATGCACAAGTCTGTTTTGTATGAGTAAATCTGTAATTAATATTTGTTTTAAATTTACACATGGAAGAAAAACCCTTGCTCTTTTGGGAACTCTCCAATATCACAGTTTTCTGAGGTTGAAAGTCAATTGCAAGGAGTTTTGTTCATTTTTTTTTTTTTTTTTTGACCTGGGAAAGTGTTTTCAAGGGAACGTAACTTGGTCCAACTTTAAATAGCTTAGCATTTATGTTACCTGTCTAGTTCATGTGGGAATGAGATTTCTCAGCCCTGGTTTATAACAACCTTCATCAAAATACACTGGCATAGATCTGAACTGATAGACAACGTAGAAAAAATGTGCTAGAAAAGAAGTAATTGAAAAAATCCTGTTTCCAGTTATCCTCATCACATTAGAATGTTCATCTCTATTATCCTTTAATAATCTGAGGTCACTACACCTCCCTTAGAAAAGGGCATTGCTCATTACTATTAATTGCACATGATGCTGTTGGTCACCGTGGCATTAAAGGTTGCGGATATGCTTTTTCTGGAAGCAATTAGAAATATGACAGTATTAGAATAGCCCTCTTATGAGTGAACAAACACCTGCCCTGTAGGCTAAACATATCTCAGGGAGTGTGAATTGAGCTGTGATATTTAAATTCACACTATACTGAATAATCCTTTAGCAGGATTTTACTGAAGAAGATCTAAAATAAAAAGCACTGTCAATAATTAATAGAAAAAAAACCCAGCTGTTTATAACATGGATAATACAAAATATACAAAATAACGTAAGTGTATTTTTTGAGATTTTTGTAACTATATTTAACTCTTGACTAAATAATCTTCTGAAATGCATCTGAATGTTTGGTTCATAAAGGAAATATATCTGATTTCCAATGATTAATGTTATTTTTAAAAAATTAATCTTTGAAATATATTAAGCATTCCTAAAGAAAACAAGTACTTTTAGCACACTTAGAACAATTATGTAAAGAAAATAGCATTAATATTATAATTCAAATACTGTAAAAAACTGAGGTATCTAAAATCCAATTTCTTGCTTTAACATTAGCTTGGGATTTAAAACAAAGCAATCACCAGTTATTGAAACAGATGTCTTTTTTAATGACTGTCAAATAGTCAAGTAAATATATTTTATTAAATCATAATCATTATTTTTAATGCCTTACACTTAAAATCCCAAATACTTCTGCTATAATTTTATGTGTACAATTTCATATTCTGTGGAGAAAGATCCTTAAAAACAAAGATTTAAATGAAACAATTATTTATAAATGTGACTTTGTGAAGCTATCCATATTTCAAACATTCAGCTTTGCTGAAGTAAGCACCAGCACAGATTCTCAAAATAGTTGTTTCAGTTTTAGTCTGTAGAGTCTGTAAACTCAGATCACTTGTAGTTTTATGACTGAGAAAAGCAGAACACAATAGGTTTTGAGTAAGTTGGTTAGTATGATGAGAGAGATACTAAATTAATCTTATTTATATTACAATCCATGTGCAGTTAATATGGTTTTCTACTTTCATTTAGGCCAGAAATATATTTAAGAAAACCATTCTAGTTATGAATAGGAACATTTATTTAGTTTGAGTTTATGTCATCTAGGACAGCATTTTGCTTTTGTTTTCTGTTTTTAAGGGATAAACTTGCTAGAACGGTTGAACAGTACACTGGCAAAAACAGAGCCCAAAGGAAATAGATCAAGAGGGCCAATCCTCACTTTCTGCAGTGTTGTATAGATCATAACTTCCACCTACCTCCCTGAGGAGATGGACTTGATCTCCATCCCTACTGCTTGACTTTGAGCTTGGACAACTTAGAAGTTTCTTAGAATACTGGAAGTTTGAAAAGTGACTATGAGTTTAAAATTTGGCTTTCTTGAGGTACTTTTTATAAGTAACCTGATGGTTTGATGCAGTAGTAAAACAACAAACTTTTCAGCCTGGGTAAGATGGCCAATCTACCTGCTTTCCTTCTCTCCATCCTCCAATAGGTGACAATACAACAGGGGCAACCTATTGTAAGCAAGAAGGCAGAGGGTAATGAAGATAATGTTATAAAAGCCAGGGAGATCGACTTTCTAAAATTATTGCTATGAGTCTTTCTTAAGAGGATGACCAATTAGAACACATAGGAAACAAAAGCATGGGACAAAAAGATAATTAGGAAGAATGGAATGAACACTGAACTGTGGGTCAGAAGACCAGTGTTCCAGGCACAGGTTTGACATTTTCTGTTTTAGGTAAGTCCCTTAAAAATGGTTTGAGCCTTGTTTTCCTCATTGCAAGGATCAAATGATGTCTTATATGTTAAAAGTGCTGAGTACTCAAAGAACTTGTAACTATAATATATTTACCATCCCAGTTCTATCACAGGACACATTTAATTCCCACCCCATCAATGACTTTCATTGCCTACCAAAACCTAATGTTATTCTTGCTAACTTTTATTATTTTTAAAAAATAGCTCCATAGGTTTGTGACTGAATCCATAACTCTCTCTTCACTTTGCTATAAATGTAACATAGTAATTTATGTTTCTGTACCATTTTATGTTATTTTGCTCCATAATGGCCTATCCAAATCTCATCCATCCTTCAGTATCCAAGTAAAATCTGTTCTCTCCTAAAAAGCCATTGCCACAAAACACTTAAGACTTTTAGAATAGAATGTATTATCCACACACTTGCTACTTACTATGACCTACAAGGACCAGAATCATCAGCATCCCCTGAGAGCTATTGATTGATGCCTCAATTCTGATCTTCTGAATCAGAACTTGCTCTATAACAGGATCTCACAGTGACTTTTATGTACAGTAAGGTTTGGAGAAGCACTGATCTACTACACTCATTCTGTAGAGTGGTCACCTTATAGAATCACCTGTTTAATTTGTGTAACTATTTTTCCTTATGAAAATTAAAAATCCTAAAGTCCAGGAAAAGTGTTTTATAATAATCCCCACAATACAGCTTCATAGAAAATAATTATATGTACTCTCATTAGAAAGTGATATACTCTCATCAACTGCATCTGCTAAAGAATACATTATAGATATATTCTGATTCCTGAGTACTATACAAGGATAGAAATTGTACATGTAGATACTGATTTCTTATGCGTGACCATAGTATTATGTTTACTTTTTCATTCAGTACAAAGGAGCAAAGAATGATAAATGACACATCGTTTTCTGTGAAGATATCACTCTTGGCATTCTTTTGAAAAGGGGAACTAAATAAGTCAGTGGCCCATTCGAATGAAAGCTGAGATGTGTCTGGGGAATATTGGAATCACACGAGAGGAAGCTGAATTGGTCCCTTGTTGTCATTCATAGATTAAGCTACATTAAAAGAAGTAGATGGATCAAGCCAAATGGCCTCATGTTCTAGAAAGTTAATCTAATGTCCTATTAGATTATACAAATCAAAGGTACAGAAGTGATTATTCTAATATTATGTCCCAAATTATTACAGATACTCATTAGGCTATATACCAGTGGATAAAGCTAAACATCCGTATCTTTTCCCTGCTTTGGCTAAAGTTAGATGATCAGTAGTCACAAGATACAAATGATGTGTTTGGGGAAGTTTGCCGGATTCGTAAGAAAGCCAACCAATGATTTATTCCACTGGATGCCTGCTGTGCTACAAATCAACCTGTCCATTTGAGAAGTCTCGTTTTCAGCTAGCTGATGTGATTCAGAGTTTTCAGTGTGACATAAGAGGCGAGCCAGAAGAGAACTATTAATTAACCTCACAGAATCATCAGTAGGGTCCTGCATAATTACATGAGCTTATACATTATAAAAACACTGAGTACAAGGAGTTCAATATCAGGTCATCATGTAGCCTAGGCTAGTTACGAATGTAAGCCTGCCCAGGTATTTGACATGGTTATTCAGTAACAGAAAGAAGCCATCATTTGTTCTTTTAAAATAACCCTATTCTTTGAATAGTACCAGATTTAGGTTTGAAGCTGATCTCTCAAGTTTATCTGGTCCTCACTTTGACATTAACTGCTGGGGTATAACCTGTACTCAGTGTAAGTTGTATATTTCCTACATATGTGTTTGGAGAGTAAGTTGAGAGAAGAGAATTATTCTGTTGTCAGTACAGACACTGAAATTCTTTGCATTTTAGACCAACAAAGGGCAGATCCCAAGGGCGTATCTTATATGTCCAGTCTGGGTATCTTTGGGACAGTTACTGAGAAATTAGAAAGGCAGCATCCTGGCCTTGCGGTAAATTTTTATGACATTAACTACACAAATCCCATTTAAACTATATGAAGAGTTCTGTAGGGAGTATTTTATGCCACTCTTTATGGACATTAGACCCCAATTCAACGTTAAAATGGTATGTAAGTTGTTATAAAAATCTTTTTGCTAAACAGGTGATTTACTGTTCTTTCAATGGAATGGTGGTGTTCTTGATTTTGCTGTCAGAAGCAATTAACATGCCGTACTTTAATTTTATTAGTTGAATGCATGACCTGCAATGGGGAAAGTTATCGAGGTCCCATGGATCATACAGAATCAGGCAAGATTTGTCAGCGCTGGGATCGTCAGACACCACACCGGCACAAATTCTTGCCAGAAAGGTAAAATACCACCAAATCGTGCTTCCAATGATTCTTTTCACAAAGTGTTATTTGCTCCATGACAAACTGCTAGAGAAATTCTCCTTATATTATGATTTCTGGATAGTCTTGGGGCAAAGGGACTTCAGACGAGGCATATGAGAATGCTGGCCCCACCTCTGACCGGTGTCTGCTGAGGAGACTGAGTCCCTGAAATCAGGATGGTCCGAAACACAGGAGCATCAGTGGGGGGCAGAAGGGGAGCACTAACAGAAGCTTCCTCTTTCCCTTCCATAGCAGGAAAAAGACAGAGATCCATTAAGTAATGACCACAGTCCAAGCTATGGGAGGAGGCATCATTGCTAAATACAGGCCAATGTCCTCCTAAAGCCACATCTTCAATGACTTAGGTAAAGTGGGGCCACCTGTGTGACACCATGACATAGGTCATGCCCATAGACAGGGAATGAAAGATGGAGCAAACAATTCTTTGGCTGCTTTATCTTAGTGTGTTTTGAGTCTGGAGAAGTCAGGCAACCACGTCTACATTTCTCCTCAGGAATAGGTTTTGAGCTTAAATGGTTAAAAAAAAATGTCTACTTTGGCTCATTCCTTTCACATGAAACATTTTAGTTGACAAAAATGTCTTTATTTTTGTTATAAAGAATGAAAATACAATTGTAAGGGAAGCTCTGTTTCCATTTTTCTGAAAGGTGTTGTTCTTATCTTTTTGTTTGTTTTTCTCTTAAATTAAACTCCGTGTGTGTGTGTGTGTGTGTGTGTGTGTGTGTGTGTGTGTTTAAGTGAATCTCTTGTCCTTTCAGTGAGTGCAGGAGGAATATGGTAGCAATTAAAATCAAGTCACCAATTCAGGACCCTGTTAATTTAAAGGGAGGAGGGTACAGAGAAAGTGGTGTAATGGAGTTTCTCTCTCCCATGGTGGAGGTGAGGGCATGACCTAGAAGGGCTCTATTTTCAAAATTGATCTATCATTAGTAACAGAACTATTGAAACCTAACTTTCAGTTTGAACTTTAAGCCTGCCCCAGAAAAAGACCCGTTTTCTTAATGACAGGCTACATGAGGTCGTGTTTATGTAATGTGTCCTTAACTGGGCTTTGTGAGAAGGGGATTCAGTTTGGGAGCTCAACCTGGTGGACAGGTACCAAATGAATCTAACTTATTAGCAAAGGGATGTGTTCTATACTTACCAGATATGGAAGCTAACATGCGCAATAGTTGATAATCAGCAGTTCTTGTAAGGTAACAGGAAATCTCTTCTTTCCCCAGCTAGTAGTATCCAAGCTCCGTCGAAAGTTACTTTGTGAACTGAGGGGTGGGTGGTGCTTCCAGGCAGATTTACATGACACTTTTCTTGGTGTGGTTTGCAGATATCCCGACAAGGGCTTTGATGATAATTATTGCCGCAATCCTGATGGCAAGCCGAGGCCATGGTGCTATACTCTTGACCCTGACACCCCCTGGGAGTACTGTGCAATTAAAATGTGCGGTAAGTTAGGGTCAAATTTATTGCTTCCTTTTCCTCTCAGCCTGGATCTAAGCAGGTGATTATTAGTGAGACAAGTTAACAACTATTTTACTTGATGCTTTAATGGGTGTAGGCTTTAATATTTTAGGAATGCATTCCATAATTCTATCCAAGGCTTTTGAATTTTCAGAGTCATTGTTTTGAAAGAGATAAGTGTGCAAGTGAACACAAAACATTTATACTTATGATGAAGGCCTAAACATTCTTATGTTATTTTAAAAAACATCCACAGAGGGAGAAAACAGATCAGGGACTGTGTGCAGTATCATAATGTCATTAGGGCCTTAAAAGCTAGGACCTTAGATTTTTACCTTCCAACCCGGTATCCTTTCCATACCTTTCTTCCCCAGACATAACATGAGCTGTCAGCTGACTGTGAGCCTCTTCTGGTGAATGACAGAGGCTGCGGTGAAAAATAACAAGTCTAATAGAAGAATCTCAGAGACATCTTTAATCTCTAGTAGCTGATCCCCACCCCTCTGGCTGACCTCGTACGCAGCCTGTATTCTGTTCAAACCTGTCTTTTAGCTGTACTGTGGTCATTTTCTATATACTGGCCTTTACCCAACACTCCTGAATTTATGGTAAAAGCTTCTTACCTCACTTGCTTTATGGTAGCTCTTTAAATCTGTATGCTTGGTCCCCTCCTCCATGGTTAACTTACACAGTTTCACTCTTTGAAATAATACTGGATAGTTAGATATAGGCATGCTTTAATTTCTATGGGTATAAGTCTTATTTTTTCAGCTGGATCCTAAAATGCTCTAAGACTAGTAGAATTCCATGACTTTGCTAAGGTATAATAACATTGGAAATGGGCTTGGCAGCATAAAGATATGCATATAGAGAGGAATGTACAAAGAGAAATAATCTACATAAGATAAGGTACCAGCACCCTGCATGATAAGTGGACAGTTATGAGGATAAGAATAGGTAGTTGCATATCTTCCTAGAGCAGCATGATGGGGATATCCCTTTGAACAAACCTAATTCAACATTATTCACACTGTGATACTGCCAAGGTAAATCTCTCTCCACCTAGACCTGCTAATAAGAGGAAATGTTTTGGACAACTCAAATAAAGCCCATAGAAGGAGGACATGTCTGGCATGTGTGAAATAACCGCAGACTCTGGTAGACTTTCAGTGTGAACGCAATGTTCTAAGGAAACTGAATTATCTGTTTGGTCCCTTGGCATAAAAGATGACTTCTGTGACAGTGTTTCTCTGTATAGATTGAGGTAGTTCCACTCATTGACTTCTAAAATCTCATTAATCTTCCCACCATTTTAGACTACTTAGATACAATAAACCAACTGTTTCCCTTCTGTTTTGTGTGCACAAATGTTTGCTTTTAGGCACTCCTGTAAATCGTCTCAGGAATAAGATCAGTATAAATACATACACACAGACACGATCACATGCATAATCATCTGCACATTCACTGTTGCCCTCCTATTCTTTTCCAACCAGTATTTGGTGATTTTAAAAGACACTGTGAGAGAAAAGAAATAAAATAAATATGATGCTTCCTAACTACCAGATAGATTTATTTTTCTCTTCTGTCCAAAGAAGTGTTGGCTAATTATGCAACTAACATGCTGTGATTCAGATGGCTTTGTTAAACAGAGAATCGTGTGTATAGGATGGTAATGCTAAGAAAATGGTAGTAGAACATGTAAGCCAAACCCATAAAGTGAAGAATAAAATCATTTCTTAAGCATGGAGAATATTTCAGAAATATTTCATTACAGGAAAGCTTTTAGTTTGTAAAAGTATACTTGGAGACTATACTCTTATTCAGATGAACGGAAGTTGATATTCTGCAATTCTGGAAAGCATAAGAGATAAGGTTTTGTGAATATTCTTGCTTACATTTATAGCAAAGCATATAATGCAAAAGTAAGACATTTGGTGATGCTTTCAACTGTGGAACAGGTTTATATTGCTGCATAACAATTTACCAAAATGTAGTGGCTTAAAACAGTACACACTTATTATGCCATAATTTCTGTGGGTCAGAAGTCCAGGCATGACTCAGGTGGATTCTTTGCTTAGGATCTCACAAGGCCATGACCCAGGTGCCCGCCAGACCTACTCTCTCATTTAAGACTCAGTATCCCATTCCAAGTCCAGCAGTTGTTGGCAGAATTCTTGTGGTTATAGCATGGAGGTCCTCAGCTCCGAAACATTGCCTGATGTTTCCTACTCTACGACCCTCTCCACGACAGAGAATTTTACTTCTTCAAGGATAATGGCAGAGTTTTCTGCTAGTTTCAGCCTCTGACCTCTACATCCTCTTTTATTTTTTTTTAATTTCTTAATTTTCAAAATTTTTCTTTATTACACAAATCGTCTAAAAGCCTTAACATTAACTTCAAAATTTAACAATAAATCACAAGATATTTTAGGAAAGAATTTTGTTTGTCAAGAAGATACAGGGACAAAACAATAGCATGGAATAGGTGTCATATAATGTAATAGACATTTTGAATAGCATGCCACTTGAATATTCATGTGCAATAATGGCAATTTCTAATTAAAGGGCAATAGTTATTTTAAAGCTCTACATACTCTTTTAAAGAGCTCACCTGATTAGCTCAGGGCCACTTGAGGTAAGCTCCCTTTAATTAACTTAAAGTCAACTGATTAGGGACCTGACTTATACCTGCAAAATCTCTTCACTTTTGTTTTACAACATAAGCTGGTTACAGAAGCCTCCAGATTGCTGTCTGTGAAGCCCTCGGGAACACAAAACTCTCATAGGGGTCTGTGGACATGGACAGCTTAGAGGCTCAAATTCTAGCTCTTTTACTTCCAGATCAATTCTTTCCCCAAATCTTCTGCTTGAGATGTACATGTTACTAAGGAGTTAGTCAAGTTCAAAATCTTACCTTCTCATTCACCATTACTCTTTCTTACTTTCCCGAATAAAACCAAACTGCCCATCCTTCCTGAATTTTATTTTGGTACATTGTCCTGGGGTGTAAAACCTTGGGAAAACTAAACAAAGAGACCTTTGCAAATGCTATATATTCATGCTGCTTATCATTTATGTACTACTAATAATTACACAACTCTATCTGGAATATATACATACATACGTGTAAGTGTGTTTGTATGTGTGTGTAGGGTACATGTGTATTTATCCCTTAGAATACTATGGTCACAAGAAATTTAGATAAATTTCAAAATATAAAAATCTTTGAGAAAAGTATGATGGGGTTAAGAATAAAAGACTCTCGAACATAAAATACATTAAATTCAAGGGGCACCTGGGTGGCTCAGTTGGTTAAGCGTCCAACTGTTGTTTTTGGCTCAGGTCATGATCTCACAGTTTGTGAGTTTGAGCCCGCATTGGGCTCCATGCTGACAGTGTGGAACCTACATGAGATTCTCCCTCTCCCTCTCTCTGCCCCTCCCCTGCTCACTCTCTGTGTCTCTCTCTCAAAAATAAATAAATAAAGTTAAAAGTTAAAAAAAAAATTCAAATAACATTCCATGGGTAAAGTGGAATAGAAATACTAATTCAAGGAGAAAAAGAGTTTGATAATATACATTTATCCAAGAACAGGTAGATATCGAATCACTCCATTAATTTTTTTTAAGTGCAATATAAAAATTTTGGTGTAAAAATGACAGTAGTTAGCATACGCTAGAAATCACATCTTTTGCAACTATTTAAACTTACCATAAAAAATGTGGATGTCAACTTAAAAACATGTGGGAGAACATAAATTTTTGTTTTCAAAATTCTCTTAGTAATGGGAATAAAAAAAAAAACAAAAGCAAAAACCAACACACCTCCACCAACTGAAGATCACTATATATTTCCAGTAATTGGCAGGAGAGTGCTGAGACAGGAGGCAGGTGGGTCTGATAAGAGCTGATTGGAACAGGCCAGTAATGTGAATTAATGCCGTAAACAGTGAGCATAACAAGGTGAGGAAGGATGTGAATGATACTGAAGAGTCTGAATGTCCAATATGTAATGACAAATTGGATATAGTGGGAAATGAGATAGGGAAAGAGCAAAGTCTTACATATTTCCTAAGTTACTGAGTAGATGATGCATATTTGAGAGAGATGTAACTTTGAGGAGGAAGATAAGAAAGCTGAGTTCTGCTTATGCTGAGATGTAGGTGCTCGATGTCTATGCTCATAGCACATCCAACTTCAGTCTTTTCTGAAGGTCTTGAAAAGTCATAAGTAAATAGTGACAGAAAAAAACTTCTCCAGAACAGCAATTCCAGGGAGCACACAGAAAACACAAGGAAGATTGTCGGCCCCTTTTGCATAGGAGTTATTCAATGAATATTTACTGACTAGCTCTCATACCTCAAAATTTTTTCTAGATTCTGGGGGTATAGAAGTGAACAAAACACACCAAGGTCTATGATAAAATGAAATTTCAGAGCACTAGCAAGAACTAGTAAAGTAAAAGCTGACATTGCCGTGACATTGGCATATTCACACCTTTCGGAGCCAAGGTTTTGATGACTGCTATCTGTTCCTTTTATTTGTTAAAAGCTGAATGAGCCACAAATTAGTTCCTGTCACTTTGCTCCCAACCTTTTAATCTTAGAATCAGTGGACGTATCCCCGAAAGTGAAGGATGAATGTTGCTCATCACCTGACAAATGTGGCCGGGACAGGCCTTCTCAGTAAACCTTTGCACCATGTTCCTCAGAAAGCGATTTCTACCCAAATGGCAACAGTTCACAAACATCTTGGCTATATACCTTTTAAAAAATATATTACAGGGACACCTGGTGGCTCAGCCAGTTAAGCGTCCGACTTCGGCTCAGGTCATGATCTCATGGTTCGTGAGCTTGAGTCCCACATCGGGCTCCATGCTGACGGCTCAGAGCCTGTAGCCTGCTTCGGATTCTGTGTCTTCCTCTGTCTCTTCCCCTCCCCCGCTCATGCTCTCTCTCTCTCTCTCTCTCTCTCTCAAAAATC